TGAGGAAGACTTTAAGATATAGCTGCTTTTAAAAGCAGGAAAACACAGGGGTGAAAGTCCTGTGGGAGGCTGCAGGGCTGGGAGCCCTCTGTGTTGACTCGGTAGGGCTGCTCTCAGGGCAGCTGTGAGCCGCAGACAGGTGAGTAACAGGACCTTGCAGGCACACCTGGCTGTGCCCACGTGCTTCCATGGTGAGGTGCTGGGGCTGCCCTCCAGCAGGTCTGCTACAAGCATGGATGCAGTTGAGCACTGCTGGGGCACCGCTACGCTTTGTAGAATCGTAGGGGCTGGAAGCAAGCTCTGGAGTCCAAGTTCCCTCCTATAGCAGCTTGATTACACGGGAGGGAGGTGTCAGGGAAGGTAGGGGTGCTCCTCTTTGCCACACAGCACGGACCCCTGCCTGGAGCCGGTGGATCTGACCATTTCCTTCAAAATGCTTTGGAATGCACACTAAGAGCGCATCCCCTGTAATCCTTAGGTTTTACTGAAGTCATTAGACTACTAATGAGCATCTACTCATTGAGTAACAGAAGATTATGTTTAAATTCAGTAGTTTGACGGCCCGCTTCTGTTTAATGACGTTTGTTTGTAGGAATGGTGCATTCTGGAAAGTGAGGTCAGCCAGAACATTTGTGGTGTTCATCTGTCTGCAACCCTTGATCTTGCAATGTATCAGCCACTAAAAAAAGAAGCCATTGCTCAACTGTAAAAATGAACTGGTCGGTAATATTAGTGGATGGCACCCTGTGAGTATTCATAAGGGTAGGGTAGAAATGATGCTCGTTTTTAAAACAACAGTAAAAAGTACAATCTTTTCTATTAAAAGATTTACAGGCCGACACTGCATCATAGGAATTTGAGTTTGAAATAAGCTTGTTTTTTTCTTTTTTTATTTTAGCAAGTTATTTTTCTCTGTCATAGAAGAAAGTGTTTCAGTGTATTTGTAGTTTTTTAAGTAAAAATACGTTTGTCCAGTGTTTTGCTATTGCTTATTTGGTAACCAGTTGTTGTTACAACTTGAGTGCTGGATTAAATGTAGGTGAGAGTCAGCAATGTTAAAGCTGCGTTTTCTGTTGCTTTTAATCCATCAGTATGATTCTAACTCTTATAATTATCTCTCACTGACTGCTTTAGGATTTTATCTTCAAATTCCCACAGTTTTGTTGTGTAGTATTCAGGTACTGTAAAATATCCAATTTGTCCTCACCAGGTACCTGAAAAACAGAAGCATTGCATTTTGGTGCCTATTTAACTTTTGTTAGTCTTGATGATCTATTTTGCTGCTGGAAAGAGAGAGGAAAAGTGTGGATGTGGTGTATACTTATGTGAAAGGCACTCTTAGACCACAGTGCTTAATAACTGAGACCAGCCAGTGTCCAACTGTACCTTTACATCATCATTGTATGTTTCGTGAAGATCTCTGTGGATTTTCTAATGAATGCATGAGGAGTGATCTGCTTCTGAAAGCGGAGAACATCCTGGCAGAGCCAGCAGCGTCCTGCGTAAAGAACGAGGGATCAAGGTGCAGCAAGACAACAACCCCAAGCTGAAAAACAAACTGCAAATGCAAGCATTACCTGAGAAATATGCCATGCTGCATCATCTCTTACATGACCCAGTAAAGACACTTAAGCTGCCTTTTTGCTGCTTGAGATGTAAGTGTCACTCTTACAGTGTAGTTATACAGCTTCCCCTGATAGTGTGAAAGGTAAGGGCTGTGCCCGGACTACTGCTTTACTTTGGATGAAGTGTGCATTTCTGAAGAGACCTCTTTGTGAATCCTAATTACCATGTTTTGATTGCATTGCAGAGCAATGAACTTGCCTTGGAATGAACAAATGTTATCCTTTCTGAGTTAAACTAAACCAGAACCAGTTGTGGTCCAACTGTCAGTGGCATCAGTACGCGTTTAGTATGGCTTGCAGATCCTCAGCGCTCACCCTGCTGACCCGCTTCCACTGGGTTGCATCAGAGGGAGCATCAGAGGCTTCCTGTGGCTTAATTTTAGTGACTCACACAATCACAGAATGGCTTGGGTTGGCAGGGCCTCAAAGATCATCTAGTTCCAACCCCCCTGCCTGCTCCTTGTCATGGTCAATGTGCTACAGCTTGGGTGACCACTCCTGCAGTGCTCATAGCAGCGCGTTTCCAACCATCGCACTGCTGAGTTCTTTGGATTCTTCATTTCTACCCAGAAAACCAAACTGAGGTCCGTGCAGCTCTAACCGCTGCGCTGAGAAAAGCTCTGCCTTCCTCTTTGTGTCAGCTCTGACACTTGCTGAACTTCCTGAGCTCATTCGACTCACTGAAGAAAGCTGTAGGCACTTTTTTGCATGGGGGTGCTTCATCTGCTAAGTGAGAGACTCAGTGCTGGAGGGGAATCATCGGGAGAATCTATCTGGATGCAGGGAGAGGGGATCACTGGTTCATGGCATCGCCCTCCTATGTTAGCAGCTGGGAAGGTCCAAAGGATGGAAGCACAGCCCCAGGGCCCTGCCTTCTCCAGGCCTGACTGCTGAGTATTGCTTCCCTCATAGAGAGCAGCCCTGTTCAGGACACTGATGCTCAGGTTCATTCAAGCGTTCGGAGCCTGGCAGATGTAAACAACTCACGAGCCGATATAAACAACTCGCAGTGGCCGTAAAAAGAATTTGGCGATGCAGCTTATAGCAGCTCAATGAGTAAAACAAATTGTTCCAGCCAAAGCGTTTTCTGTCTCTGTCTACGCTTGGGATTTTGATAACCAAAATAGCACAGTGTCACTGCTAAGTGTGCTGCCAAGGGCTTCGGGCCCGGGTTTGTCCTCACAGCTTCTTTTGCTGCATATTTTCACATCGATTAGAAATACCTTCTTCCATGGTTTCTGTTTCTTCTTTCTGCTCGGGGTGCTAACACCTAACTACTCTTCCCCTGAGCAGCATCACGGAAAGGAGGCAGAACAAAGAGCCCATGGAGGTGTGTGTTTCAGCGCTGAACTCTATCAATGAATGTAAATGCCAGGGGCCTCCTTGTGCCAGGTTAGCCAAGTGCCCTGAAACAGAGCAGCCCTTGCTTACAGGTGTCGCAGCATTAACCCCTCGGGTGCCCACCAGCACGGCGGTACGGCCTGGAGAAACGGGGCAAGGGCGTGCTTACTGTTTATCAGATGACAAAAATAAGGGAAATGCTTGAAATACTTCCTAAAAAGCCAGTTGTCAAAATATGCCAAGACAAATTAGTAGCTGAGGAGGGGTATATTTATTATTTCAGTAGGCCGTCAGCTTTCGTTGTTGCGGATGAAATACACGTAGGGATAGAATTGGTGGATACTGAGTGCTTTCCTTCCTTCAGTTGTTTTAGAGGTCGTGTACTTAACTAATCAGGGGTGATTCTCAAAATGTAGGCACATAGATGGCACGTGAACGAACTGCGTATGCAAACAGTCGTGCAGGAAGCTGATTGTTTGAGGAGCGCTGTGAAGACAAGCGTTATTAAAATGTGTAATATTAGAAAAAGGTGCAACGAGAACTCTTACGAGCTATAATTTGCTAGCATCGTCTCCCACCTGTTTTTTCCCCACCCCTAAATTAAGAGTGAGGAAGACACGAGCGCACGTGGCTGTGCAAGCGCGGCAGTTGGCGCCGCTCCGGGCAGGAGGAGGGAAGCGCCCGGCTGGGGCTCCGCGCGCGAGCAGCGCTTCCTCCTTCGCCCCGCATCAGCTGAGGGCCGTTTAGGGTGAAGACGCCGTTCGCGGGAGTCGGCCGGACCCGCAGCCGACCGCTGCCGCTTCAGCGATGCGCGGCGTTGGGGGCGCGCACGGCGCTGCTTCGGCACGAGCCGAGCGAGGCGGAGCGCTGAAGTTCAGCGCGGGGCTGGGGCAGCCGCGCCGTCCGACGGCAGCCGCTAACGCGCGGGGATCGCTGCTGGCGGCGCGCCGCGTCTAGAAGGAAGGTCGGTGCGCACGGGTAGCCCGGGGCCGGGCGGGGCACCGCCTTCGTCCTCGCACGAATTTGGGGTGTGCAGTCGCCCTCGCCTTGTCACCTTCTAATCTGCGGGTCTGGAGGGCGGCTGTTCCCTGACGCCGGAGCGTCTGGGAGCGCCGCGCTGCCGGGAGCTAGCGGGACGGCACGGCACGGCACGGCACAGCACAGCCGCGGGGCTCCGCCGAGCCGCTCGTCCCGCGGGCGGTTCCGCACAGGCAGGGCGGCTCCACCGCGGCGCGCCAGGGCCGGGCGGGGGCGCTGCGGGCGCGGCGGAGGCGCGGGCCCGGCGGCGGGAGGAGCCCCGCGGGCTGGGCGCGGGGCCGCGGCGGAGCGGGGCCGGAGCCCGGCGCGTCCCGTCCCGTCCCGTCCCGCGGGTCCCCTCGGCGGGGCCTCGTCCGCCGCTGCGGGGCGACGGGCCGTGGCGGGCGCCGCTAGGCCGCCGCGAGCGGGGCGGAGGCGGGAGGAGGCGGAGGCGGAGGAGGCGGCGGCCGGGGGCGGGCTGGGTCCCTCCCCGGGAAGATGAGGCGGAGGCCCGGGCTGCCGAGCGGGCCGAGCCGGGGCTCTTCCCTCCCAGCCGCCAGGACAAGATGGCAGCGGCCGGGGCGGCGGCCGGAGCGGCGGGGCTGAGCGGCTGAGCGCGGCGCTTCCCCGCGGCGCTCCCGGACATGCCCGGCGCGGCGGCTCCGGCTCGGACGCCAGCGCGGCCCGATCTATGAAGGTGAGCGGGGCGGGGGGAAGGGCGCTGCCTCTTCCCGCGGGGGGCGGCGGGGCGAGGCCCGGTACCGCCGCCCGTGCGCCGATGAGCGCTGCCCGCCGCCTGCTCGGAGCCCGGCGTTCGGCCCGGGCGGCTCCGCTTTCCCCCGCCTCCCCCCCCCCCGCTGCCGCCCGCGCCCCGAAGTTTCTTCTTTCCCGGCTCCTCGGCGGTGGGAGGCGGCTCCCCGCGCCCGCCGTGCCCGTTGCCGGCCTGTGCGGCGCGTCGCTGGCCGCCGGTTGCCGTAAACAAGCGCGGGGCCGCCCCTCCCGCGGGCTGCCGGGCGGGCTGGGGCTGCGGGCCGGGCTGCGGCTGGAAGCGGGGGGCGCGGGCTGTGCTGCGGGGCCGGGCCGCCCGCTGGAAATCGCAGCACAGCGTGTGATTAGCACCGTTGGAAATTGTGCGGTTTGGAGTTTTTTATTATTATGATTATTTTCTTTTTCTCTTTTAATGCAAACCCCTCAGCCGCGAGTACTGCGTGTCTCCCTATCCAAAATCACTTCTGTCCGGGCTGTACCGCTGTACGCTGTGGCCGCCGGCTCCCCTCGTGCCGTGTCGGTGCGGCGGTGCCGAAGCCGCTCCGCAGCCCTGCGCCCACCTTCCGCGGGCGGCCCTGCCTTGTCGGCACCGCCGTGCCCTGGGGCTGCGGGCAGCGGCGGCGCGGCGACGTGCGGTCGCGCTGCCGGTAGCAGCGCACGTTTCAGCGGTTTCGCTTCTGCGTTACCTTCCGTGCGTCGTGCGCGAAAAGTTTGTGCCCTCCCTGGCTTCACAACGACGCGGTGGTGCTCGGGCTCCGAGTTGCTTTCTGACGTAACGATTCCTTAACAGAATGACTTGTGGGAGGCTTCCGTAAGCTGAGTTTAAAATTCGCACAAGAAAGAGCTGTCTTGTAAGCGTGGCAGCCAGCAAAGAGATTAATTAAGCATCTGGAAAATAGGTCAAGGCTGTATTATGAGGCAGCGTGGTGAGATCGCAAGTAAATGGAGCGAGGTGTTACTGTGAGCTTAGCAGGAGAAAACGGAGCGGGACGGGGCAGCGGTGACAGCGCTGCCTGTCCCAGCACCAACCATTTATAGCAGCGCGCCGGGATGTGTTGTGACCACACGGAGCAGGAATGGCTTTTTGCGCACCGTGCTTCTCGCTGCCGGCTCGCCTTGTGCTGCTGGCTGTGCTCCTGCTGGGCGTGGCACGGCTGTGCCCAGCGGCTGTGTTCGGGGAGATGCTCTGACTGCGGGCTCGGCGTGTCTGCGTGCCTCGGGGTCACCTGGCTGCATCCCTGCAGTGCAGTGGGGTTAAAGCGCTGCTCAGGAGGCTGCCCCCGATGCGGGGCTCTGCTGCCATCTGAGGTATTCCTTTGTTTGAGGCTTCTTGTGTTTGCGTCTTCCCTCCCTCCTGCCTCGCAGGCGGCTCCCTACCAAAAGAGGGAAATGAGAGAGGCTACACAACGAGGTGCCGGGGACAAAATATCGGCAGGGTGTGGGGAGGAACTGCCTTCAGCCCCTCGTCCAGCAGTCGGCATCGTTCGTGGAGATCGTGCTGTTGGTGTGTGCTGCCCCTCGTGCTGTGCCTCGGAGCAGCAGCTTCAAAACAAACGTTGTGTTCTGGAGGGGATTTTCTAAAAGCTGTTTTTGGGTTGATTGCTCCCATTTAGCTCCCACCGACTTGAATGGGGGCTTCCTGGGGCTCGGTGCTTTTTTACCCCCCTGTGGGTAGAACAGAGGTAGAGAGGTGTCTGCTGACCCTCACCCAAACACGTAGGCTGGTTGAGCTCTCCTTCCTTAAACTTGCTTGGTTAGAATGTTTTTGTCCCTGCTATTTTAGGGAGTCATGCTCTTATGTTGGTTTTCTTTTTAACTTGCGTTTAAGCACAAATCCTCTTTTTGCTGGTTTCTGTTCTGCCAGTGGGCTGGTTATGTAAAAAGAGATGCTCTCAACAAAGCCTCGCTTTCAGAAACGAGAGTTTCGTTGTTGGCTTTTGTGTGCAAGCAGGAGAAACAGTGCACTGAAAATATTCAGTCCCAAATGATAGCACTGTGCCCTGTATTTCGGACTGATGTTAAATGCAGAGCTGTATGCTAGAACAAACTTTCTAGTTGAGCTGACGTTGATGCATTGTGGTGCACAACTGATGTGCATGTACCAGATAGCGTGGGCAGCACGGCTCTGGGGGGAGCAAATGTGGAAATGTCAGGGCTGGGGCGGCCTGCTTTGCTGACAGGTGGCAGGATGGGGCAGGTGACGCTGGCATGGTCCCTGATGGGGAATCTGGAAAAGAACAGGCTGGAAAGTAGGATGTCCCAGTGGCAATACCAGCGCTTCTCTGTTATGCGCTCACTGCTGGGTTTTGTCAACTGTTGTTGAGCTCCCGGATCTCAGAAAGGCTTGCATGCTTCTGTTTTCCAAGCTTCCCCCTTCTCTGACTGCACTGCCTTGCAGCTCCACAAGAATTCCAGAACTCTTGGCATGGGATTCCTCTGGTGAAGAAAACATCCTTGTGCTTCTTCAACAAAGTTATGAAGTTCCTCCAGATGGCCAGCTGCTAATTTATATAATCCAAATACTTATTTTGAGGCGGTCTCTTATGCTTTCTTGTATTTGAAAATGAAGGGAGTGAGAGCTGAACTTGGCAGTGGGAACTTTCTGCAAAATTCATGTCTCTGTTCCTAAGTCACTGAAATAGTATTTTTGCTTCTGCAGCCCTCCTGATTGACAATGGGAGGCGGAGTGGAAAGTTGGGATTACTTTTAGTTGGAGTCTTGGAAGAAAAAGTTGTTCTTGGGTGAAGTGTAAGAGATCTCCAGACACCTGGAACTTCAGAACTGCGGTTGGGTCACACATGAAACCAAATAGGAAGAAATCAGCACGAATAAGTGCCGAGCCTTTTAGAGGCGGCGATGAGTGGGCAGCATGCCTTGAAGAGCTCTGCTGGCTCCATAGCAACGTTTAAAGCAGCGTTCAGCAGGCAGTGCTGTGAAATGGGTTAGTGCTGGGCTACCTGCTCTCACTTGTGCAGGCAGTGAGCACCCTCTAGTCAACCTGAAGTAACTGGAATGAAGCATAAGGCTTGGGAAATCCCGTTACCTCTTCTTGGCTTTTTCCACCCCCTTTTAGACACCTGTTTAATTTAGAGCTTCAGTCTCTAGCGTTAGAGAAGCTGAAGCTGTATTTCTTTTCAGAAGCACTGACTTCAGGATGGCGGACAAGCAGATGTGCTGCTTTTAATTAAGAGAGTGGGTCACTTTCTGACAAAATGAGGTCGATCTCTGTTTTAGCAGTGTTGCTTAAAAACGAGACTTGCCACATACCTGGAGCATCTCTTAAGCAAGGGAATTCAAGGTGTTTAATTCTGAATTTCTCTTACTCAGTGACTTAGAATCAGTTTAAAAATTCACTCTGTCTCAGAACTCTCCCAATATTACTAACTGTATTTTCAGTAGACCCAGAAGTGTGTGAATTTTTGTATGTTTTTTTTCTTTTTCCCACCCAGTGTTTTCAGGAAACCTTAGAAACTATTTGTTTCCAAAGTGTGCCCTTCCTGCCGGCTCTGTTGCATTGTGCAGCATTTGGGTATAGCGGGATGGAGCCCAGCAGAACCCTGAGTTCAGGCTCTAAAACACAGCAGGAAAATAAGAGACAGTGAAATATCCACAGACAAAGCAGGTGAGCAAATATTTTGGTATATTTTTAGTATCATCAAAGCTACAGCAACTACCCTAATGATTAAAAATGAAATGGATTGTTACGTGCAGATTTATTATAGTATGTTATGAATGACACTGCCGTCAGAAAAACTATTTTTAAAATGAGTCATCTCACATTCATATGACTCTTTCCATTAGTACTAATATAGTTTTTTTGCAGTGGTAAATTATTTTAGTACTGTTTTTAAGCATGTTACAAACATGACTAATGCTTTTCGTGTAAAACATCAGCTATTATCGAATGAAAATCCCTTCCTATTTGTATAGCCATTACTCACCAAATACTGCGTGGGGACTGCAGTTCCCTATTCAGGTAGCTGGCAGACTCTTCTACCATTTTCCAAAAGGTGGAAAATTCTGGGACGAGAAAGGCTGTGTCCTCGCACTCTGTTGAGAGTCCCATTCTCATCGTCGTGGTTTAAGAATAAAACCAAGCAAATGCAAGGGGATGGCTGCAGATGAGACATGATCCCGGTAACAGCACAGTACTGCTGAGTGTAAGCGTGGTGCGAGCGGCTCTGCTACCTGAGTCGGTTTGCTTTGGCTGGCTTTAGGAGTTGTACCCGAGCTTTGCTTTACTCCAAGGTGGAACACGAGCTGTGAAATGGAGGCAGGTCTCTCCTGGCACTCACCTCTTGCAGGGAGGAGGGGAGAGAAGAAAGTCGGCCCTGGTGGGAGAACCTCCACTCGGCGGCCTGCAGCTGGAACTGCAGTCACACTATGGCTGCGCTCCGCGTGGGGCCGCAGTGTTTTCTTTTCCTCGTCTGTGTCGTGCAGGCTCTGCCTGGGTTGGTACTGGTGGAACCTGAACAATCTTCAGGATGTTTTTTTTAAACCTGTTTCTAAGGATATCTTTCTGCCTTTAGACTGAAAAGCTGCTAGTGTACATCACTGCTTGGTAAATGTTGTCCTGCCTCTGTTTTCCTAGAAACACAGTTCTAGGAAACTGGAGCCTCCTCCGTCGCTTACATTTCTTCAGTGCAGGGGTTCTGGTGCTTGCAGCCTTGTGGGTCCTTTCTGAAGGAACGGGCTTCATTCCTAAGAGAAGAAAAAAGCCTCTTTGTTTCCCCTTTCCTTATCTACTAATCTAAACTTATTCTGTGAGGCAGGGAATTAATTGGTATTCAGTCTGATAAGAATGTGTTGCTTTCATGATACTCAGAAGGGTGTTTTTGAAGAGCTTTTCTCTGTGGTTTTGGAAATGATGCTGTGAGCTAATGTCCTACTGTGACTCTGCCAGGGTCACTCGGGAGGCTTTCTCAAGGAATGTTTTGGGAGCTGGCTGTGGCAAGTGTTCTTTGAGACTGTGTTTATAAAGCTCGACTGAAGAGATGGCTCAACTTTGTTTCAAGGATTAAAACAAGAGTGAAAGTTAAAGGCTATTTTCTTTAACAAATAGGAAGATTATTATATGGAAAGGAACACAGCAGGCAAAAAACTGGCTTGTGCTTAGCAGTACTGTGCTCTAGCTGTTGGGATCATATGTTGCGTGCAATCTCGCTTTCCTCTTGCACACCTTCTGTGTGGTTAAATCAATAAACTGTGTAGGGGAGAGGGGGAAACTTGTTGCACTGGTGGCTTTGGGAAATACTACAGTCTAGCTTAATACTGCTACTGGTTTGCTAGGAAGCGAAAGATGGCGTTCTGAGAAGAGCACACATTTCTCGTGGGGGTTTTGCCTACAGGAAGCACTACTTCCACATCTTCATCTTCTTCCACAGAAATGTGGAAGAAGTTTCCCCCTCTGAAACTCTTCTGAAAATTCCATGCCAAGTTTGATCAAGTCTGGGGACAAAACCAAAGTAACAGTGAGGACAATAGCTTGTAGGCTTGTATTCCCAGAGGAGCTGCATTTGATGTCTCTGGGTGCTGCAAACAGAACGGAGGGCAGGGCTCTGCTGCTGTCAGGGCTTCACAGACGTTTATCTCAGTGCGTCTCCTATTTCCAGGTTCAAATGGAATTAATCTCTTAAAAGAAGAGATTAGGCCGGGAAGCCCAGGCGGGTTGCAGCGTGCCATTTGTGTTGATGATGGCACATTCTGATCTAGAGAGCGTGGTCTAATTGGGAGCTGGTGGCAGATCAAACTTTTATTTCCTTTCTTTTCAGTTGCATAACGGTTTCTTGCCTCGCGTAAATGCTTTAAATTATATTTTTTAACTGTGATTGCAGTCATACTGGAATCATAAGATGTAGCTGTTGGTATCTGTGGGAAATGTGAATGTAGCGATTGTGTTCTCTGGTATTGCTGCTGGTGCAAATGGTGGCATTGAGTCACGAGTTCACGCTGATGTTTTATGTAAAATACATTGGTTTCAAATATATGGTGTTCTGTTTCCAGGCAGTGAGGTGGCTGTGCTGTGACTTGCTGCTATCACACTTGACCAAACTTGTACTTTCCATTGAGGTGGGTTTTGTTGTTTGCTTTTTGTTTTTAAATAGCCGATGCAGATGTATTTGTGAGCAGAGCCCTCTGTTGCTGCAGACACTGGTATCTCTCTGTGGTTTCCCGAGTCGTGAGTTCAGAGGCTAGAAGCAGAATCTGTTACATTCTCATTCAGGGTATTTTATTTTCGTCCAGAACTGTTCAATCAGCCCTGTAGTCATGTTTTGCCTGAAGTGTAAAGGCACCCCGTATTGAACACTTTGTTGTGTGGGTAGAATAGAAATACTGATTTTTGTTTTTTTTTAAAGAATGTAGCAGTGCAATTGAAGTACGACTTCAGGTATCACTGCAGCTCTGTTACTGTGTCCTGTGGAGGCGCTTGGATGTTGCACAAACAAGCCTTGCAGCGTGTTTCTGGAGCAGGTAGTAACTTTAGCGGCGACTCGATGGCTTCGTCGTTGGCTTCGTGCTGCGACTTCTATAAAGCCGGGTAACCCTGCCCACTCCACGCGGCGCTGGCAGGAGGAGAAGGATCTGCAGCTCCGCTCTGCAGCCTCGTTGGCGTCTGCTGCGCGAGAATTCCAAAGCTCTGACAGGTCTCTTTGCAAATAGACGTGCTTTACTCCCAGGTTCTGCTGTCATTTCTGTCCGATCCTCCCGGCTCTGCAGTGCTGTCCTGGGGCTCGCTGCCGTGCTGCCAGGTGCCTGTTGGTGCTGGCTGTGCGCCTGCCTCCGCACCCCCTGGGCATGCAGTCCTGTCCGGCTGCACCTCTAGGGCTGGGAGGAAACGACTCCTGAGGTAGGGCTTGTTGGTGAGCCGCTCTGTGTGTTCTCCTTTGCTTTGCTGCCCCGTGCCACCGCGCTGGGGCTCTGCAGATTGGCAGGAATGGCCGCGGGTAGCCGGGAGCTGGGTTCCCTGCGCCTGTCTCCGCGCTCATGGCTCTCCTGGTGTGTTTTCCTTCTTTGAATTCCAAGCGATCTTGATTGCCGGTGCTTTGTTACAAATAGCGTGGTTGAAGTAAGGGCGTTCCTGGGCATTAACAGGGTATGAAAGTGCCTGCAGCAGTACAGCTTGTTCCGCAGTGCAGCCAAACATAACCCCAACAAAAAGATGCTACCAGCACCAAAGCGGAAGGAGGGGGCGACTGATTTAGTTGTGCCTTTGCTAAATAGCATCAAGAGTTGGGTGGCACCTAATACAAAAAAAAACCTAAAAAAACAAACCAACAGAAAACCAACCCTTTTTTTTTTTTAACCTGGGAATAACAGTAGTAACCTTACAGTGTTTTCGAGGTGGTGCACAAAGTACGTACAGTGCTTCAGGAGTGCTGCTGCTGGGCTCTTGCTTTGCTGGAAGCTGCTGAACGTTCAGAAGATCTTTGCAAGGAGGGTGTCCTTAAGCCAGCAGCAATCCCCTCCGACCCGGAGGTGAAAGCAGTGGGAAAACAAGTTTTCTGTAGTTAAAGTGTAACTGCAGCATTAGGCTGTGCCCTGGGCCAGGCCGTGCTGCAGGGCTTTCAGCAGAAGGCGCAGTTTAGGGCTCGTGGTGCTGGACATTGAGAAGCCCTGTTCATTTCTCACAATTCAGGCTGTAGCATGGCAATTTTTCCTGAACTGTAGCGTGGTGCTTTTACTAACTCTCATTACTCTTCTTCCCCACCCCCGTTCTCTACCAGGAGGAAATGTCATTCTGAAGTTAATTATTAATGGTGGTCAAGCCTGGAACAGCCTGTGCTTCTCAAGGCTGTTACAGCCTGCCAAATTTGTCATGTTTATGGATTCGTCTGGGGCTGCTTGGGAAGGCTGGAGAATTAGTTTCAAGAATCTAGCAAAGAGCATTGGTGCGGCTAGGTGAAAATTAGCAGCGCCTTACCAGAAGTGTTCTGTTCCAGGGGCAGGGGCTGTGGGTTTGAGGCTTGGTTTGTGTAAAGGGAGGCTTGGCTGGAAGGGGCAGGCAGAGAAGTGCCTCCTGTTTTTCTCTGCTGTATGAAAGCGCATTTCTTTGTTTGCACTACAAATGAATTTATTTAAAATGCGTTATTTCAGTATGTGGTGGAAATGTGTTTATTTTAATTACTTTGAGAAATCCACCTGTTTCTAGAGAAACTAGGAACAGTCTTAAAACCAAAGAAAGTTCACTCGTTTTGTATAATCTGTCAGTTAGTAGCTGAAGTGCAGGTTGCTCAGTTCCACCTACTTCAGACTTAGAGCCAAGATGTCTCAATGCTCTTTGGAGAGGCGCTGCCTGGACGTAGTGATAGTGGGTGAATATGGTGAGGTTCAACACGTGAAGCAAGCGAGGAGCTGCTTTCAGCCTGTGTGCACCTCTGCCTATGGAGCAACCATCGTCCTGTGCATGGGAGAGGAGTGCTGGAACAATGCGAGGGAGGATGGGCAGATGTCTGCGAGGGTGAAGGCAATGAAAATCAAGTCCTGAAGCTACCCTAGTGGTCAAACCTCGCTCCAGGGCTCTGTGGGGGCTGTGCTCCTCAGTGATTTCTCCTGCCTGTTCTGTTTGCGTTGCATCCTGCAGTGATCTGGTGCACAAGTTTGGGCTTGGTTTTAAATGCAGTGTAACTGGAAGATGTAATCCAGCTGCTTGTGAGTGCTCAGGCTCGAGTCTGCTCCCCGAAACAAGCACGGGATGACCGACTTCCCTCAGCACCAGCTGCTTTGCTGCATGGCTCCCTGTCCTGCCCTGCTTGTTAATATAGATGTAGTCTGACACGCTGCACTTTGTATGAAGAAGCGGGAGCCGTCGTGATAAGAAATGTGTAGAAAGATGTGTAAGCTCAGTGCAATGGTTTGTGACAAGCCTGGGTAGGGGGCATTCTGCTCCTGGCAGGTGAAAATACGCAGTATGCTGCTGTCTTTAACCAGCAGAGCTCTTTTAGAAACACCTACAAAACCAGCACTTCTTTGCAGTGTAGGCATCTGTAAGATTACACTGTAAGCCAAATCTTCCAAAGTACCAACACAACAAAGCAAAACCCCATGGCACCGTGTCAGTGCTGTCTCAGGAAGGGGAGCCACGGCGTTTTCCCGTCCTCTTTGAGGCTCGTACCGCTCTGCTGTCTGTGTTTGTGGCTGGGTTTTCAGCTGGTGGACGAGAGCTCACTCTATTAATAACCGTCGCTTCTCAAAGTGGAGAGCTCTGGCAGCGTTGTGCAGAGTAAGCTGTGTGCTGATCTCCTGTATTTTGTTTCATTTGCTGTAGTACAGAGAGCGTGCTTCTGTCTGAAACAGTAACAGAGTGGTGGCAAGGGAGAAGTGTTAGGGGGAAGCAAGAGGTTATGTGCACATAAAGAACTTCAAGACCCTCTTTTGTTTTTCTGGAGTGAGATTTGTCTGTTGGTCCGGTCGCCACCATTGCGTTGCAGGTTGTTCTCCCAGGTACGTCATCTAATAGCTCAAGAAGAACTTCCTATCTGGGAGCAGAGCTGCCGGCAGCAGTGGAGCTGTAAGCTGAGGGCCGCCTTGCTTTCCCAAACAGCCTCCTGGACACCTGTCACTGCAGAGGGCAGCGAGGTGGGTCGGGCTGAGCAGGACGCAGAGGGCGCAGGCCCTCAGCCTGCGGGTCAGGCACAGGGTGCAGCTGGGCCGCGGGCGCTGAGCTGCGTCTGTCAGGGGCTTAGTGATGTGGCTGGACTGCTGCGTCTGCTTAACGTTCAGATTTGTCATCTGAATTGGAGGCTAGGCCTGATGCGGGGTGGCTGTGCCAGGCTTCTTTTTTATTCCCTAATCCCTTTGTGCTCTTCACCTAAAGCAAAGCACTACTGGGGCGTGGAGGTGAGGCGGAGCAGGCAGCACCTAGGTTGTGCTAAGCAAGCGTGAAGAAACGAGGTGGTGCAGTACGAGGTGGTGCAGTACGAGGTGGTGCAGTACGTGCGAGCGGGATCGTCTCACTTAGCAACAGCAGTGCTTTGGTGAAGCGTTTGCCTTTTGTTGGGGCACCCGAGAGCTGCAGCACCGTGCCCCGGCCTGCTGCTTGCTTTTAGAGCATGTCCTGAGCTGGGTCAAAATTTTGTGGTCAGTTAGAAGGATTTCTCTGAAGAACCATAGAATCCTACAATGGCCCGGGTTGAAAAGGACCTCAGTGATCATCTAGTTTCAACCCCTTTGCTGTGTGCAGGGTTGCCAGCCACCGGACCGGGCTGCCCAGAGCCACATCCAGCCTGGAAGAATTGAACTTCATTCCAATTTGGTATTTTCGTGTAGCAGTGTTGGGAGGGGAGGAAAAAAAAAAATCCCATCAAAGTGCACTGTGACTGTGCTGTGGTGTGAACCCAAGTGCGGTGAGCAGGGGCAGCGGGGAGGTGGGCTTCAGAAGTGTTCTTCTGAGCTGTGGTAACTGATGACTCCTTGCCGATGGCCTGGGGGGGAGCTGGTGCAGTAGCTTACCCCTCCCCAGCCTCTGTTCGTGAGCCTTGATAAGGCAGGGTTACTTTTTTAGAAGGAGGTTTCAGATAAACCCACTGAATTGAAAGACTCCTATTTTTTTCTGCTGTGAGATGGTAATAAAAAGCATTCTCTTCTCGCTACTGTTCAAAACAAATATAAGTTCCATCTGTCTTAAGCTTTACCTTCTGCACATCTCTGTATGCTAGCTTCATGTAGTTTAGATGAGGTTTTGTGTTGTGGTTTGCCTTTTTGTTGTTAAGGTAGGTCTAAAAATAAACTCATGCATAATTTCCACAATCGTGTTGATATGCTGATGTACTAAAAATGATGTAAATTAAAGCTATGTAATGGGTACGCGGGGATATTTCTCAATTTAAACACAATGCTTTTTAACAGGGTGTGTTATTTAAGAGAGGATTCGAAAATCTGGAGGACGTTTGCTTGTGTGTTGAGATGGTGCCTTTTCTTAGCGTGCAGCATTCCGTAACACAAGGGTTTCAGATGGTGTTTGACAGATCTGGAGTGGTACGCAGCAGGGTCGGAGGAGCCGGGAGCTATGGCATCTGTGAGGTTATGTCTCCATGTTTTAAGGTGGAGTTGAGATCGCTTGTCATGTGTGCAGACGTGGTGCTGCTATTGTTTCCTATCTGATGATCTGTTGGCTCACTCAGCTTTGGGTTTGGGAAAGGCCTGTGCAGTGCAGAGCCCAGCTCTGGAAGCTCCTGTGGCACTGCTTTGCACACAACAGGTCTATTTATTCCTGATTTCTGAGATGCAGTGGCTCTTTCTGAAAAGGCTTTTGAAAGAGTGATGACCTGGAGAAAGGTAGAGTCGGTCAGACTGGAACTTTGGGTGCAGCCTTCCTGCGACTTTCAAAGTCAAAGCAATCCACAGTCTTTTGATTTTCACTGCTCTTTTAGCAAGGAAGTAATTGCATTGGCAGAAGTGTGTGTATGTGTGTATGCCTGTATGCCTGTGTGTGTAGAATAATTACTCTACATTTTAGTTTATCCAGAAAATGACAGTTGTTTATGTAAGCATGTACACATGTATGGTACTTTGGGCCCTGTCATTCACTGTGCTTCCTTGGCAGCGGAATTCCTGGAGTACTGATTGTTGTGTTGTTTGGTCATCTTCTCTTAAAAGCCTGCTGGTACTTATGGTGAACAGGTAGGATGATAGGCAGGGTCAGCTGACAGATAAGGACCCTTAAGTTATTTTATGTCATAAATAGGTAATTGAATTAGTTATTTATCTTAAGTTGTTGAAGACTATGGGATCTTCGGATGTGGAAATACTGGAGGTCTTTAAATGAAAACTGTGCCCTTATGCACAAAGGCAGTTCTTCCACGTCAGCAATCATTAGCACTGCCTGCTGCAGACCGTCTCACTTCTGCCCTGAACAGCGAGTGAAAACGTTGCCTACTGTACCCAGCTGCAGTCTAAAGACTCTGCACTGGGCAGGATTGATGACCTTGCATTTTCCATAAGAAACTAAAGACAAGTAGCTGGCTAGCTTGGCAAATACACTTCTGTCCTGAATTTTTTTTTTTTTTTTTTTTGCTTGTTTTAAATGAGGAAACTGCTGCAAACCTCAGAAATGTTGAATGTTGAATTCTTACCTATGCTTTGTCTTTCTCTCCCTCTGCAGGTATGGCCTCACAAGTCTTGGTCTATCCACCATATGTTTATCAAACCCAGTCAAGTGCCTTTTGTAGTGTGAAAAAACTCAAACTAGAACCAAGCAGTTGCGTGTACCACGAAAGAGCCTACCCACAAATCTATGTGAATGGTAAAAACTTTGGAATCTCTCCCCATAGGGTTAGTACTTTCCTTCAGACTAAAAACCCATTTGACAGACCTCGAGGACAGAACGTTTTGTTGCAGTCAAATGCTGTTGCTTTAAAAAATATTGCAGGTGCTACAAAAGCGTTAGCAGCGCAGGCGCAGCAAGCTCACTTGGAAGCACCTCAGCCTGGGACACAAGGAAACAGAGTAGATATACTGGAAGGACCCCAGCGATGTGGATTGAAGCGTAAGAGTGAAGAGCTAGATAATCAAAGCAGCACGATGCAGATTGTTGATGAACTGTCCATATTGCCTGCGATGTTGCAAACCAATGTAGGAAACCCAGTGACAGTTGTGACAACTGCTGCAACTTCAAAACAAACTGGTACAAGTGGAGATGGAGACTACCAGCTGGTACAGCATGAGGTTTTGTGCTCTGTGAAAAATACTTACGAGGTTCTTGATTTCCTTGGGCGAGGGACCTTTGGACAAGTGGTGAAGTGCTGGAAAAGAGGGACAAATGAGATTGTGGCAATCAAAATCTTGAAGAATCATCCTTCGTACGCACGCCAAGGACAAATAGAAGTGAGCATATTAGCAAGGCTAAGTACTGAAAATGCTGATGAATTCAATTTTGTGAGAGCCTACGAATGCTTTCAGCATCGTAACCATACTTGTCTGGTTTTTGAGATGTTGGAACAGAATTTATATGACTTCCTGAAGCAAAACAAATTCAGCCCTCTGCAATTGAAAGTAATACGGCCTATTCTACAACAGGTGGCCACTGCACTGAAAAAACTAAAAAGTCTTGGTTTAATCCATGCTGACCTCAAACCAGAGAACATTATGTTGGTGGATCCTGTTCGGCAGCCTTACCGGGTTAAAGTAATAGATTTTGGGTCTGCCAGCCATGTATCAAAGACTATTTGTTCAACCTATTTACAATCCCGGTATTATAGGTAGGTGTCTTTTACTTTAACTTCTAATTAATTTTTTTTTTAATGAAGTTAATGGTTTAAATAGTTACTCTTCGAGATATGTAGTCATAATTTGGAAAACATGAAGGCAATGTAAATCATCGCAAGGTTAAGTGGTTGGTTACTGTTATAAACATGAATATTTGTTCTGAACATTTTCATAACGCTCATTTCTTTTTCCTAGACATATTTTTTGTTTTGCTCTATCTGAAGCCATCACTAATTGCTATCTTGAGACCTTGGATGAAAAAGAAAACTGGAACAAAAATTAATCTTCACTTGTTTGTTTAGTGTTCCTTTTCTGCCTTCCTAGTATAACTTTATGTAAGCAGCTGGACAGTGCTAGAAATGCCATATTTTATATACTGTTGCCAAAGATTATGTAAACTGCTCTGTTTTTCTCCACTGCTTGTAAATATTTTGCCTCGTTCTTATAAACTTAATTCTGATTGAGTGCCTTCAGCAGCATAGACTTCAGTGAGTTTCTGAGTTATACTGAGAACTCACTGAGTTATACTGAGTTAGGGTACTTAAATGTTTAAGGTGATAGTAGGTGGGCATTTAAAGTGATTTTGGTAAATGTCTGCATTCTACATTGGCCTTAACATGGTTGTGCGTTTCTGATGTTGTTTTTAATCCTTTCTTTGTATAAGCAATCCCATCAGTGTTACATGTAAAAGCCATTAATACTTACCATTGAGGGGTTTTGTTTCCTTTATAAGCTGAATTTGTCTGCGTTGAACCCCTTTTTCAGTTCTGCTTTGTTGTTGGCAGTTATACGTCCTGCCTGTCTCCGCAGAGGCAGTGAGAAGCTAGTAAACTAGGACAGTGAGTAATCTAAAGACAATTCTAAATATGCTTCAGCTATTCATGTTGGAAGTGAAAACTTGTGCAATACAGTTCTGGGCCTGACGAAACGAAGGTGTTGTGGCTCCTGCCAGAAGGATCTAACTGTTAACTGTAGCTTGTAAACAAGAACATTTCATGTTCTGTCCTTAAGTCAAATATTCTTATTAATCACTTGAATTTCCATGTTATTTAATTACAAATTGCAGCTAACTGTTGAAAAAGTATGCAAAGTTGATCAACAGAAAACTTAACTGGGAAATCCTGTTGACTGATGCATACCCACATGTGGGAAATACGAAGGGAAGTATGTTTAGGGAGCTCTGGAGTTAAAAGCTGTGCACCATTCAAGTCGCCGCGTTTCCAGGCTCCTCAGACAGAAAAGCCCTGAAAAGGCAGGGTGAGTTCTGCAAGGTTGTGTGCGAGTGCAAATGTCTGAGCATCAGCTGTTGTGTGCAAACCCACAGTTCAGCAGGTGCGAAGTACGAAAACACTTAGGCTTTTTTATTGACGGATGTGATTGCAGGTGACTGTGAGCTGCTGCCATGTCTCTCGCCCTCCTTCTGCCCCACAGCTCACAAAGGGAGGCGGCTGCGAGCAGCCAGGCTGGGTGGTCCTGCTGTCATATTTGATTCTGTGGTGTCTGGTTTCACATTGGTTTTCTCTACTCCGCACGGCTCACACACAGCATTGTGAACTGTGCTCAGCTGCTCGTATACACGTTTTAGCTTTGCTTTGTTTTGTTTGGCTTTGTGCTCCCTAACAGCTATACTTTATATAGAGTTCTGACCCGTGTACGGAGCAGGCCTCTGTGCCTCGTGTAGTTGGATTGCTGTGTTACATTATGGATGCTAAGGCGTGAGCATGGTTTGTTATGAGTGTTCCAAAGTGTTATTTCCGCTTCTCTTTTAAGCATAAACTTGCAGACCTATGCACCCTCGTTGGCTCGGGGTGGGACCTTTACATGGAATTTAGCTCGTGAAAAGACTGAATGATGTTTTTATAGAGAGATACAACACGTGCACCTAAAATTCCCGGTTACTAAGTGGCACTGAAGTGCACTGTAAATATTCAGACTGTGAAGTAAAATATGCTCTTTATCCTGTGTAGTTTTACAGTCCTGTAAGGTAGCATTTGAGTCAAGGCTTAATGTTTTTTTAAACAAACATGCAAATAGAAGAGTCTGACAAGTTTAGGTTGCAGTTTGTCTATTTGAATGGTTCCGATGTCATCTCCAAGGTAAATATTGGTTAAGATCATTTTGAAATGGGTTTAAATTTAGTAGGTTTTGTTTGGTTTGGGGTTTTTATTTATTTATTTTCCATCTCAAAGTTTAGTTCTGGTAAAGTTCTTAGTAGGTTGGATTTCACTGTGGGCGCATGGCTCCCTGCTGACTTAGTGGCTCAACTTAACTCTGCATTGCTTGGCAGTTTCACAGACTTTGTTTTATTGTTTTGAAGTACCTGACCAGGGTAAATAATACTAGAAAATAGGAGTTTGACTTAAGAAATGCTCAAAAGAGGAAATGCTTTCTCAGGGAATGAGAAGAGACTTCCCAGAACACGCTGTATTCAGACAGAACATATTTTGCAAGAGGCCGTGCTTCTTGTCAATCAGCTAAGCAGCTACTCCATAGAATATAGTTGATCACAAAATTTACTTAACAGTTTTTGTGTTATGAGAAGGTGGGAGTGATGGTGCAGGTTTGACTTGTTTGACTGATGACATGTTGAAACAAACCTTTAACAAAAATTGAGCTGCAATTGAGACTTATTGAGAACTCCTTTTGTTCAGTTCAGTGCTGTGTGTTTGTTTATATCGTATACAAATGTACTTGAACTATTCTGATGTGCAAAAGCACTCTGCTGAACTCTCAAGAAGAAGTAGTATGAAGCAGAGGGATTTCATTTTCCTTTTAAACAGCTGTTTTAGGATCTGAGATCTCAGAGGAATGGAGTAAATGCCTTTCAGCTTGTATGGTGCTGCAGGGGAAAGGAAGGAGCTCTTCTGGAAGCACTATGAATTCGGTAGAGTTTCTAAGTTACTCCTGCCATTCTCAAGGATGAGGTTTGTGCTTTCTGTATCGAAAGCACGTGCCTGCCATTGTTGAATGAACCAGAGAAACATGTAAAGAAGTTGAGCAGAAGTGAATGAAAACACTTTTATCTTATCATGCTTTCTTTTTTCTTGTGTATGAGACTGTCATGAACGAAGCGCTGCCAAAAATGGAGAAGGCAGCACAATCTTCTGTTATGCTGTCTTTTTTTGAATGGCAGTATGCTATGTTGGGTCTGTATGTGGATGTGAGTAATACGTTGAAAACACAAGTAATAAAGCAAAATTAGGACTTAAATCAGGGAGTGTTGTACAGCCAGGTGAATGGACAGCGGGGTGACTTATGTGTCACCTTCTCTTAGTTAATAGCAAAGAAAGAAGTGGTTAAAAACAAATACGAAAATGCTTTTTGACATTTTTTGTTGCCTGATGGAAATTACTGCTAGAAATTCGATTATTTACTTGCTAGGAGAGAGTATGATATCAATAAACGTTAACCGCAAAGCCCTATCATAAGTTGTGGGTTTCTTTTCTATTTCAAAGGTGAAGTGTTATTCCAAATACTGTTTACCTAAAAGGCAGTGTCTGTATTACATGCAGTTTTTATGCTGGCCTGGGCTTTAATATTTATGGGATGGAGGGATCTGGTATTTGAAGCCTTTTCTTTGCTGTTGGTCTCACACTTTAAGACTGCTGACCTTTTATGAGTGATCTAAGCAGTGTATACTTCTCGGAAAGACAAAAGACCCTTTTATGTACAGCATAGGTGATTGGGCCTTTGTCACGGATGGAAATGGTATAAGCATGTTGTTCATCTATTCTCTCGATCACTAGTGCCCTAAATTGGGAAAACAAGCATTCATCCAAGACTAAAAGCTGCTTTTTTTTTCCCACAGTGTGGGTTAGGAAGCAGAGGAATCAACAGCTGTCTCTTATTTCTCAGCCTGTAGTCTCATGCTCATCCACTGAGTAGAAAGCTTTTCCGAGGCATGGCGTTCTTCTGCTCATGGAGTCATTTTCCTTTTCTTTGTCTCTCTCATAAGGTTATACGTGTTTTGGGCAAAGAGGGTGAGAAGAGAGGCTCAAAATGTTGGATTCCAAGGAGCAGTAATCTGCACAGCATCGCTGTTACCAGATGATCCAGGTAGTTCTGCTGACTTGCCCAGGGAGCCTACTTGTATTTAGCAGTTTCCATTGTTGTGAAAAGAGCTTGTGTGTGGCCTCAGTGCTGTGCTCAGAGGGAACTTCTTGGATCTGCTTTCACAGCAGACCTCCCCTCTTGTGTGGCACTCTTCTCAGGGAAGCTTCTGTTGGAGCTTCTGCAAAGTCTTCCCCCTTTGAAGTAGCTGTGTGCAACACCCGTGGTCAGTGCTCTGTTCTACACGTTAGGTGGTACCAAATGACACAGGTTTGTTCTGCATCTCACTGTTGTCTGTAGCATTTGGCTGCTGATCAAAGCAGATAAAAACTTTATTTAAAAGATGCACAGTTCACCCTACTAGCATTGACGTAGCAGGGTTTGATAATGATAAAGCCTCATACTTCTCCAAAATTGTTGTCCTCCCACTTTTTACGTGGCTGTAACACCAAGTTTGTAAAATGCATCTCTGTATTTACATTGTAAGCATGGGTTGCTAAGGGAGAGTTTGTAGCAGCAAAGTCAGTGTTTGTGTGGGCAGAACTTTATGATTGCAAACCCTCATCATTGATTGGGAGGAGCTATTACTTCGGATTTGTTTTGTTTTCCAAGGGAAATCATGCTTCTGTTGACTTTTTTTGAGGTTGTCTTCCTAGAAAACCAGGTTTTGAACGCGAGTCTTTATAGACCTTACAAAGTTTAGCATTCCCAAAGTCCCGACATCACAAACTTGAGATAGTCTGTGTGGGTGTAAGAACTGATGTGTTAGTTAGATTGCATGTTCCTCACGTGCAGCTCCAGATGGCAGTTTTACAGGCATCGTTCTCACTGCTTGTATAGCTGCGCTTGTTAAGTTTCCTATCTTTCATCTCCTGCCTTCCAAGAACACATCTGCTTCATCATACCATTCAGCTTGTATGCTGTAAATTTTATCATTAAGAAG